TGGCTTAGGGACAACTCTGTAGATGTTCTAGAGTGTCCCAGTCTTGAATCCTATTGAGCACCTCTGGAGAGATCTGAAAATGGCTGTCCACCGACGGTCCCCATCTAACCTGACAGAGCTTGAGAGGATTTGCAAAGAATGACAGAAAATCACCCAATACTGGTGTACAAAGCCTGTCATGTCTGTAGCACCCTCCTAGGTATGTACTAGAGCTAGAAAGATAAAATTAGTTGAGTTTGATGGGTACATTTAGTCATCACTTTGTAGTCAGAGTGACTGTAATTATTTGCTAGATAAAAGCATAGTTCGCTCGCTGTACTTGATGAGCTGTGATTATTTAGTTAGATCTGCTCTGTGTGCTCAGGTGCTGCTAGTCTGCCTAGCTTCCTCTGTAACCAGGATATTTTAGAAGTTTCTGGATGATAGGTGTGCAGTTATGCAGATGGCAGCATGAATATTGATACAGCCTCAGCCTATCCCAGAGAGAAGGGCTTTAAGGGATGCTGGGTAACTATATGTATTCACACAGGGTTCTGGGTTCTCTCCTGTCCAGGACTGATCCAGCCTGGGAGAGAGAACATTACCCTCCCAGGCAGCTAGTGCCATGGGAGGTTCTGCTATGCTGACTGAGGGACCATCTACTGAAGATCTGGTCTGGTATCATAGAGGAAGGCATCCAGCTGTTCTTGGGCCTTGTAAGTACAGACAATCTTAAAGGATATTAGAGGCTGTGTGCTGTTTAACCCCCTCTGTTGCTAGGAAGTCAGCTGCGGGTCTAGCAAAGGGAACACCGGCTGGTGTTTCGAAAAGCTTTGTCCACCTGACCTACTTTTAAAGGGACACGGCTCTTGGGCTCTAAAGTAGTTACTAATACTGCTTTCTACTACTGCCTTAGAGCTGAAGTCAAGCTTGCCCTAAAGATTGGATAAAGTCCTGCATGTACATAGTTCCCTATGTTTGGAGTATCCCACTTGTCTCCCTCATCCCTATAGAAATTCTCCAAAAATAAAAAACAATACCCCTAGACTGGTTATTGGAGAAACGTGTGAATGGGCCTATGTACCTTGCTGAGGGACAAAGTAACTGGGGGGACCTGGACAGTATTCCTGCTGCTCTTATGGGAGTAGTGTTACACTTCATACCCAAAAAGACTTGAGGCTGTAATTGCTGCCAAAGGTGCTTCAACAAAGTACTGAGTTAAGGGTCTGAATACCCAAGTACATGTGATATTTCAGTTTTTTCTTTTTAATAAATGTAACAGACATTTCTAAAATTCCATTATTATTTTGTCATTATGGGGTACTAAGTGTAGATTAATGGGGAAAAAAAATTAAAACAACTGTAGTATCAGGCTACAACATAACAAAACTGAAAGTACAATACACACAGTGTACTGTATAGTCATAATGCTATTAAACATTGATTGTAATTGATAGTAATAAATATTTATTATTAGATTCTGCGTGAAATTGATGATCATGTGTACTCATTGTTAGGATGGTAAACGTTATGTAATGCCCGTATAGATAATTTAGGGGTGATTGTGGGTTTTACAAAGGAAAGGGGGTATTGTTGGGATAATGAACAAACTAATGATGTTAGTTGGAAGATAATTAATTTGAATCATTTTAAAGTGATTCATTGACAGTATCCTCCCCTGGGACATTTACTTCCTCTTATTTCTCCCATTTTCTATTGTTTATGTATCTAATTATGTTTTAGAAGTTAAGGTAATGTTAGTGTACAGATAAGATTAGGAACCTGAGCTTTGCTCTTGCAGGTCAAAGCAAGAGCACCGTGCTGCTGCACCAAGCCACATGTTGCACCCGACCACTTGCTGTAAGTTTTAACTTCCAGGCTATAAATATGTACAGTTTCTGTGGTTACTGTATGTTCATTGAGGCTCCATGTACTGAGAATGCAATTCCTAAAGCACTATTAAACCCAAAAACAAACATTTATTTTATTGCGATTTACCAATCCTTACATGTGGTGGCTGAATTAGTTTTCTGTTTTAGGCCAGTTTCTGATGGGCTTCAGCCTGTATAAGAGCAGTGTGAACAACAAGCTTGTAAAATACATCAGCAGAGCATTTAGCAAGCTTTAGTGAAGCTTTTAAAAAGCTCTTCAGCTCCAGTTTGTAAATGTTGAACACAGATCTTAATGGGAGTGCTGACTGCCACTTTAAACAAGCTGCCCGCAGGCTTCAGCACTATTTGAAGCTTGTTGAAAGCGTGCCTAAGCCTGCTAGCAGCTTGTTTAAAGTGACAATCAACACTCCTATTAAGATCTGTGCATAACATTTCCAAACTGGAGGTGAAGGGCCCTTTAACCACTTGCTGACCGCAGATAGCCAAATGACGGCTTCACTGCGGCCGGCCAGTTCTGGCAGGGTGTCATATGACATCCTCCCAGAACACGCTCTCCTGCGGCGATCTCCGTGATCGCTGTGTCCTACGAACACAGCTGACCACGTGATGTGGTAAAAGGCCAATCACAACGGCCTTTTACCACGTGATCAGCCAATCCAATGTCCAATGACACACTGATCACTGGGAAATGCAATTGCCGGTTATCGGCTGCCCTTTTCTCATGCTGTCACGCGAGGAAAGTACTGCCAAGAACCGGCAGTTGTCAGAGGAGGGATCGACACCGATCATCAGGGCACTGATGATCATTGTCCTGATTATCGGTGCCCAGCAGTGCCACCCACCAGTGCTGCCCACAAGTGCCCAGCAGTGCCATCAACCGGTGCCCAGCAGTGCCACCCACCAGTGCCCATCAGTGTAGCCCAGCAGTGCCACCCATCAATGCCACACAGCAGTGCCGCCAGTCAGTACCCAGCAGTGCCGCCAGTTAGTGCCATCAGTCAGTGCCACCTATCAGTGCCACCTCATCAGTTCCGCCTATCAGTGCCCATCAATGCTGCCTATTAGTGCCCATCAGTGCTGCCTATCAGTGCAGCCTCATCAACGCACATCAGTGAAGGAGAAAAATTACCTGTTTGCAAACATTTTATAATAGAAACAAAGAAAAACTTTTTTTTGTAATTTTTTGCTATTTTTTTGTTTATAGCGCAAAAAATAAAACACCCAGCAGCGAGTAAATACCACCAAAAGAAAGCTCTATTTGTGTGAAAAAAATGATAAAAATTTCACATGGGTACAATATTGCATGACTGCTCAAATGTCATTCAAAGTGCGACAGTGCTGAAAGCTGACAATTGTCCTGGTCAGGAAGGGGGTATAAGTGCCCTGTAGGCAAGTGGTTAAAGACATAGAGAAAGCTGCTTGAAGCTTGCTAAAAGTTTAAAAAAAAGTTTGTTGACAGTTTCATAAAAGCTTGCTGTTCATACTGCTCTTATTCCAGCTGAGGCCCATATGAAACAGGCCCTAGGCTTTATTATCTTAATTTTCACCTGGTGATCCTGCCAGTAAGTCAACTTCCTTTAACAGACCTAGCTGTCCAGCAAAAGGGTCAGAGAGTTGGGACAAACCATTTACTACCGACGGGGTGCTTACTATGTTCAGCTTTTATTCATTTATGTAAAACCCTTATCCTAAAATGAAAAAAAAAAAACTGTAGCTACGTAAAAGGTGTTACCTGGAATTTGGCTTCAATTAGTCAAATCTAAATCTGTTAGGGCATCTAATGCCTACCCTCTCCCCAGACTGATAGTGGTGCTGTTCAAGGTTGTCTCAATGGCTCCTCCATCCAGAGTGGAGACACCCTAAGGCTAGGTTCACACCTATGCAGGTTGTGTTTGATCCATTTCTGCATTGCATTTTGCATTTCTGCACCTGCGTTTTCGATGCGTTTTGCTTTTTTTTTCTTGTTACTAGCCAGATTTAAAACAACGCATTACAAACGCGCAAAAAACATAAAAAATGCATAAAACCACAATACATGCGTTTTCTGCAGCGTTTCCATTGAAGTCTATAGAACCAAAAACATAATTTTTTCCATTCAAAAAAGTCCCTGACCCTTTCCAAAAATACACACTGGGTGAAAATGCGCAGAACATGTCCCATGAAACATGTTAAATGGTATGTTACTGGAAGTGTGTTTCATAAGGTGAATATAAAAGGAAAAAATAAAACAAATGCAGCCACCACATTTAAGGTGTTACTAAACCCACAACAGTAAAATCAGTCTGTATATGTAGTAAAGCATGTTTGTTATGCTCACTGTGGAACTTAAGGGGCTAATCCTCTGCATTATGTAAAAAGCATGTTCGATCCTGTCTTCTCTGATCCTCCCCTTCTTCCATGAGTTCATTTCATCTGCTAATATAACATAGCTTCGGGGACATTCTGCACATGCTCAGTTTGGTGTGTGCTGCTAGAGAGTTTTTCTTTTTCTTTGAGAGGGTGCATGTGATCAGCACAGGGCCAATCAACACTGTCGAGACAGAGGGTCAGGGGTTATGCCGTCTCATAGGGCAGTGCGAAGAGCATGAAAACGCCTCCACAAGCTTTAAACCAGCACTCTGCTGGACACTGATAGAAGTCACATGACTGCTCTAGCTGCTAATGAGAAAAGGTATTTAGCAGTTTATATTTACTAAAATAATTGCATTTCCATGTTCTGTGTATTGTCGGAGACCATATATAGTGAATGCAGGGTCCTGGGAGACCAGATATAGTGAATGCAGGGTCCGGGGAGACCAGATATAGTGAATGCAGGGCCCGGGAGACCAGATATAGTGAATGCAGGGTCCGGGAGACCAGATATAGTGAATGCAGGGTCCGGGGAGACCAGATATAGTGAAATGCAGACCAGATATAGTGAATCCGGTCCTGATGACCAGATATAGTGATGAACAGGGTCCTGGGAGACCAGATATAGTGAATAGTGTGACCAGATATAGTGAATGCAGGGTCCTGGGAGACCAGATATAGTGAATGCAGTGTCCGGGAGACCAGATATAGTGAAATGCGGGGAGAGTGTCCGGGATGACCAGATATAGTGAATGCAGGGTCCGGGGAGACCAGATATAGTGAATGCAGGGTCCGGGGAGACCAGATATAGTGAATGCAGGGTCCTGGGAGACCAGATATAGTGAATGCAGGGTCGGGGAGACCAGATATAGTGAATGCAGGGTCCGGGGAGACCAGATATAGTGAAATTCAGGGTTCGGGGAGTCCAGATATAGTGAATGCAGGGTCCAGGGAGACCAGATATAGTGAATGCAGGGTCCTGGGAGACCAGATATAGTGAATTCAGGGTTCGGGGAGTCCAGATATAGTGAAATGCAGGGTCCGGGGAGACCAGACATAGTGAATGCAGGGTCGGGGAGACCAGATATAGTGAATGCAGGGTTCGGGGAGACCAGACATAGTGAATGCAGGGTTCGGGGGGGGGGAGACCAGATATAGGAATGCAGGGACCGGGGAGACCAGATATATAGTGAATGCAGGGACCGGGGAGACCAGATATAGTGAATGCAGGGTTCGGGGAGGATATAGTGAATGACCAGATATATAGTGAATGCAGGGTCCTGGGGAGACCAGATATAGTGAAAGGGTTCGGGGTGAATGCAGGGTCCGGGGAGACCAGATATAGTGAATGCAGGGTCCGGGGAGACCAGATATAGTGAATGCAGGGACCGGGGAGACCAGATATAGTGAATGCAGGGACCGGGGAGACCAGATATAGTGAATGCAGGGGACCTGGGGAGACCAGATATATAGTGAATGCAGGGGTCCGGGGAGACCAGATATAGTGAATGCAGGGTTCGGGGAGACCAGATATAGTGAATGCAGGGTCCTGGCTTTAGTAACAGTTTACAAATTAGTGAGCTACAATTAATTATATTTTTGTTTTTGGGCTTATTACCACTTTAAATAGGGAGCAGAGGTCTTAGACAGGCCCTGTCAGGGCCATGGTAGGCTGGGCTTTGTAGTTCCTCAGCAGCTGACATCCTACAGCTTTCCTGTGCCTGATCTACATTCAAATGGACTTTTCTGTCCAGTCAGGAATTTGAATAGAAGTCCATTCATCACACCCTTTTCACTGCTGTATGCAAATAGAGACACTGGCCCCAGAAAACGTGGCTTCCAGATGGCTATTTGATAGATTGGTTGCTCTATGACTGTTTTAGTTTGGAAATTGAGCAACTTTTATCCTTGTACAGAAACATTCAGAAATGGAAAAAAATACCTTTTATTTTATATTAGCTTCAAGTCCTCCGATTTTGATTCTGCAATTTCTAACAGATGACTTGTTTTAATAGGATTAAGAGTACTATAGACTTTAACAACTGTAGCATAACACCAGCTGCTGCAGAATCACTAATTAGATGACTTTCCTTAAAGAGCAATTCGAGGCAATAAGTCAGTCAGTGCTATCCAGGAAATGTTGTCTTTATGTTACAGTCACAATGTCTTCTCAGAAGCGAACCTTCACCCTCCCCACCAACTTTCCATCTTTTCACTCCTACCCCTTGCAATCAAGTGTACACAATTTTTTTTAATTTTATTTTTCATGATTTTTTTAATACCTTCCTTTGGGGGAATGATATGTTAAGCTGGAAAATCATATGAAAAAGCGTTTGATATGCTCGATTGTTCAACTTTTGAACCGTTAGTTGGCTAATTTCGATTTATGGCAAAAAAAAAAACCTGTCATGTAGATTTTTTTGAGCCTAAACAATCAATTTTCTAAACATTAGTAGTGGAATAGATTAAAAACTGTTTGAAAAAAATCTACAGCACGTGTTAAAATCTACAGCACGTGTTAAAATGTAACCCCGTAATGTAATCGATTGACAAAAAATGTAGTATTTATGTTATTATCGATCGATATTATGTCAATAATTGGGGGATAAATATTGATACAATGATGGCATTATCACATACACATTTCGACAGATCTTTATAAATCTTTAGATTTTCTGTGTATGGCCAGCATTAGTTGCTCGCAGTCTCCTGGGCTACTAATAATAGATAAATCCCATAATAAAACACTTTTCTGTGTGCACTGCTCCGCTCCTGTGGTGTACAGTATGTGACCTGCACTGTAAGGCCTCATGCACATGCAGCTAAAAAAACGCCCGTTCACCATTTCTTTTTTTTTTTGTTGGCCTGTAGAAGCACTTCTATGTTACTTTATGTGGCCATACACACATAGGCTTTTACAGGTATGTTCGAGGAGGAGCATTTATGGGCAGAAAAAAAAACACTAAAGGCGCATTAAGAGAGGAGCTTTTAAGCAAAAAAAAGTGCCGAAATGCAGAGAAACATGACTGTATGCAAATAAATGTATTCCAATAGCCAGAATAAATGAATATTCTGGACAGTAGAATTAATTTATGCTCAAATGCCATATGAGTTTAAAGTGTTACTAAACCCCTGACCCTGCATTCACCATATCTGGTCTCCCACAGTACACAGAACATGGAAGTGCAATTATTTTAGTCAATTTAAATGACTAAATACCTTTTCTCATCAGCAGTTAAAGCAGTCTTGTGACCTCTATCAGTATTCAGCAGAGCACTGGTTAAAGCTTGTAGGAGCAGTTTTCTTTCTGCTCTAGGAGGATGCAAAACCCTTGACCTCTGTCTGGACAGTGCTGATTGGCCCTGTGCTGATCACATGCACCCTCCGAAGAAAAAAAAAAAAAAACCTCTTTAGCAATACACACTAAACTGAGCATGTGCAGAATGGCTACGGTTCAGTCTGTCTTATCAGGAGATAAGACGAGGACATTTGAACAAAGGAGGAGGGAGCAGAGAAGTCAGGATCAAATGCCTTTTTACACAATGCAAAAACGATGAACCCCTTAGGTTCCACAGTGAGTATAACAAGCATGCTTTACTGCATATACAGACCAGGGGTGGACTGACAACTCATGGGGCCCCCGGGCAATAGGCAATCATGGGGCCCCTGTGTCCTTGCCCAAACTCAAAAAAGCCTATGAAAAAGGTACCAGGGGCATCTCATGCCCGAGTTTCCAAATGGTCAGTCCGCCCCTGCTACAGACTGATTTTACTGTTGTGGGTTTAGTTACACTTTAAATGGGTGTACAGACATGTATAAACGCATGCGTATTGTAATATTAAAAAAAAAAAAAGAAATGGTGATGTAATAACTGACCCACTTGCCACCTCTTTCAGACCTAAGCGCTCCTACACCTCCCGTTCCCACGCCACCTTCCTCACCCTCCTCCTTCTCATATCAGCTGGAGACATCTCCCCGAACCCTGGCCCTCACCACCTCACCCCCCCCTAGAGCCCCCCCTGCTCACGCCAGCCGACGCGACCCCCCTCAACCTCACACATGTACCCCTCCTCCCCATATCTATCCCCCCTCTCTCGGTTGCACTCCTGAATGCCCGTTCGGTTTGCAATAAGCTTACCGCCATCCATGACCTCTTCATCTCCCGCTCCCTCAACCTCCTAGCAGTCACCGAAACCTGGGTACAGGCCACCGACTCCACTTCCCCTGCGGCACTCACTCATGGAGGTCTCATCTGGACCCACTCACCAAGACTGAGCGATCGCAGAGGTGGTGGTGTCGGCTTGCTCCTATCACCGCTTAGCACCTTCCAGGTCCTCCCTAACCCACCCTCTCTTTTCCTTCCCTCCTTTGAGGCGCACTGCATCCGACTCTTCTCACCCACCCCCCTAAGGATCGCAGTGATCTACAGGCCTCCGGATCCATACCCCGCTTCCTGGACAACTTCGCCGCCTGGCTCCCCTTCTTCCTCTCCTCTGAGCTAACCGACCATCCTCGGGGACTTCAACATCCCCATCAACGACAACAACCCGGCCACTTCCCAATTCCCAATTCCTCCACCTAACCTCCTCCTTCGCGCTCACACAGCACACTCATCCTCCACCCACTTCGGAGGGAACACCCTGGACCTTGTCTTCTCCCACCTCTGTACCCTCAACCAGTTCTCTAACACCCCCTTCCCTCTCTCCGACCACCACCTCATCACCTTCTCCATCTCCCCTTCCCCCAAGTCCCCCCCTCAAAAACGCCAAACCATCACCAGCCGCAACCTCCGCAACCTGAACCCGGCCCCCCTCCACTCTGCCGCCGACCGCCTACACGACAGCATCCTCTCACTGTCATGTCCTGACATAGCCACCACCTTGTACAATGACTCACTGTCAGCTGCCCTAGACTCTCTGGCACCCTTAACCACACGCATCATCAAACCCAGACCGCTTCAACCCTGGCAGACCGACAGCACTAAACGCCTCAAACGTCGCAGTCGCGCACTGGAGAGACTGTGGCGCAAAACCAGGTCCCCTCATACTTTCTCCCTTTACAAATCTGCATTTCTTATCTACACCTCCTCCCTCACACCGCAAAGCAGGCCTACTTTGTTAACCTAATAAACACCCTCTCCTCCTGCCCCCGCCGACTCTTCTCCACCTTCAACTCCCCTCTGCTCTCTCCCCCCCCCTCCTCCACTCTCAGTACCTCTCTCACCGCCCACGAGATTGCCACCCATTTCCACAACAAGATTGACGCTATCCGTAAGGACATCGTCCACTTGCAATCTACCTCCCCCCTAGCCTCCTCACCCCCGTCACCCCCTCATCCCCCCCCCTCTGCCCTCACAACCGCACTGCCCCCCACCTCTCCCAATGCCCCGCCCACCCCCCCCCCGCACTGCACTCCCTCAGCCCTGTCACTACTGAGGAAGTCGCCAAAGTCCTCTCAGAAGCCCGCCTCACTACCTGCCCCCTGGACCCTATCCCCTCTCAACTCCTCCGGTCACCCCCCGCCTCCCTCATCCGCTCCCTCACCCACATCATCTTCAATCTCTCCCTCTCTACTGGCGTATTCCCCTCCCCCCTAAAGCACGCGCATATCACCCCCATCCTCAAAAAGCCCTCCCTGGATCCCGCGGACCCCAACAACCTCAGACCATCTCCCTGCTGCCACTCACCTCCAAGCTCCTTGAACGCATAGTCTACGATCGCCTAAGCTCCCACCTTACAGACAATAACCTCCTTGACCCTCTACAGTCCGGCTTCCGTCCCCTACACTCCACTGAAACTGCCCTCCTCAAAATCACTAACGACCTACTAAACGCCAAAGCCAAGGGCGACTACTCTGTCCTCCTTCTCCTGGACCTCTCTGCGGCCTTCGACACAGTTGACCACTCCCTCCTCCTTAATAAACTACTCTCCCTTGGCATCAGAGATACTGCTCTCTCTTGGTTCTCATCTTACCTATCCCGACGCTCCTTCAGTGTCACCTACAATGGTGCCACCTCCCCCTCCCTCCCCCTCTCTGTTGGGGTCCCCCAAGGCTCTGTCCTTAGACCCCTTCTCTTCTCCATCTACACCTCCTCCCTGGGCAAACTCATACACTCTCACGGCTTCAACTATCACCTCTACGCTGACGACACCCAAATCTACCTCTCCACCCCTCTCCTCACCCCCACTATCTCCGCCCGCATCACTCACCTCCTAAAATGACATCTCAGACTGGATGTCGCTCCATTTCCTCAAGCTCAACCTCTCCAAAACCGAGCTCCTCGTCTTTCCCCCTGCCAACACCCCCCCCCCTCCATCCTATCATCATCACCAGCAACTCCACTATCACTCCCGCCCGCAAGCCAAAGTCCTTGGCGTCATTCTTGACTCGAACCTCTCCTTCCAACCGCATGTCAAATCACTCACAAACACATGCAGGCTCCATCTTCACAACATTGCCAAGATACGTACCTTCCTCACCCTTGACACCACCAAACTGCTAGTACACTCCCTCATCATCTCACGTCTTGACTACTGTAATTCTCTTCTCACCGGCCTACCCAAGTGCAGGCTCTCCCCGCTCCAGACCATCCTGAACTCAGCGGCTAGACTCATCCACCTCACCACCCGCTCCACCTCTGCCACCCCCCTCTGCCTCTCCCTCCACTGGCTCCCGATTGCCCAACGCATCAAATTTAAACGCCTAACCCTGACCTACAAAGCCGTTCACAACACTGCCCCTGACTACCTCACCAACCTGATCCCCAAGTACCGCCCTACCCGTACCCTTCGCTCCTCACAGGACCTCCTTCTATCCTGCTCCCTGGTCTCCTCCTCCCATGCACGACTGCAGGACTTCTCCAGGTCCTCCCCATCCTCTGGAACTCACTGCCCCAATCCATCAGACTGTCGCCTTCCCTCTTCACATTCAGGCGCTCCCTCAAAACCCATCTCTTCAGGGAAGCCTACCCCACCCTCACCTAACGGCCATTCTCCCTCTTTCCTCCCACCCCTCATTCCCCTCAGCCACTTCCTACTGTACCTTTACCCCCTCCCTCCTAGATTGTAAGCTCGAAAGAGTAGGGCCCTCTTACCCCTCGTACGTTGTTTGTTGTTGTTGTACTGTGCCATGTATTGTCCCCCCTCTATTGTACAGCGCTGAGCAAACCCTTTGGCGCTATATAAACTCGTAGTAATAATAATAATAATAATAATAATATTAGAGGTGTTTGTTTCTGCCAAATTCTGGCAGAAATTTTTTTTTTATTTTCATAAGCCCATGTGCATGAGACCTATTGGATAGCAAATGACTGGCAGTAACATTGTGAACCCTACATACATCTTAGAGTAAATTCTGTGTAGCCATCACTTCCTACCCTGCCTAGTGTGCTTCTAGTACCAGTAAACAGACTACAAATAGTATCGTAGCAACAGAAGAAGCAAAGGGAGCATCTGCTACCGGGCCCTCGGGACAAAGTCCTAAGCCTGAGTCAGCAATGCTTGTCTTTTTCCCCATCATTGCTCCAACAGAAGTCAAACCATGCTGTGCAGATTAGCTAAAAGACACTTCATACTAGTAAGTCTTCTGTATATAATGTGAGTCCCTGGTTCATGATTTTTATCATGAACCAGAAAAATGTTGGCATTACTTCTGAGTGAAATAATATTATTCTGTCTGTGGAGGTTCCCTTTTATCTAGGGCAGTGTTTCTCAACCTTTCTTCAGTCAAGGCACCCTTTAAAATTATGGACAGTCTTTTGAAGCACCCCATTCTAAAATGGGGTGCCTCAAAACTGTCCATAAACCCAAACATTAGAGGTGTTTTTTTCTCCCAAAGCAAATACACGTTTGCACACTGGTACTGACTAGTATTCCAATGTTTCTCTTTTCCCTCAGTTTTTCTCCATCACTGAGCTAATGTGACCCCAGCACTGATGGAGAGGGGCAGGGGAGGGGCAAACTAGGATGTTGTGCAGGCAGCTGACATCCACCTTATCGACTAATAATGTCATTAGTTGTCAGGATGCCGGAGGCTGGAAGGTTGTAATAGTGAACAATGAAAACCTCTCTGGCTTTGTGTAACTAAAAGGCAAGCTTATTCCCCCCACTGGTTTGTATACAAGTTTTGGGAAATTTGTAGACATTTTGCCAAGGCACCCCTGAAGAAACCTCAAGGCACCCCAGGGTGCCTGGGCACCCTGGTTATGAAAGACTGATCTCGGTCATGGTATATTAAATAGTAAATAGTCACAAATTAAACTGACCTGATCTGTAATATTGAAGACATGGTATTCTGACAACCCAGACATCTGCCGCATACAGAAGATACCAGAAAGCAAAGTGTACCTGAAAAATTGAGTAGAAAGCTTTGGAATTAATACATTTACGAAATTGTCCTTAGTTTACTATGGAGAAGAGTGAAGGATCAAAATAACTGTTTGTGGTTCTCTACAGCATCAGGCAGGAATTGTGGTGGATCCCCTTTCATGAGAAGTTTTACAGAAATGGGGAGATATCTCAAAATCTTTTTTTCCATGGGGAGATATCTCCCTTTCTTTTTTCAGGGGAAATATCTATTGATTAATGGTGGATACAGAGCATTTCTGTTGTAGAAGAGCATTGGCTGATTTCTGGTTTTCCTTATTCACACACAAGGTCACACATATGGAGCCTAAAAATGTTGTTCAGTCACCAAATACCCAACAGTTAAGGGCATATTTGAAAAATAATGAAAGTGACTTTCACCCTATATTCACTGGCAGTGAATAAATCACTGTCATTTAAAAGACGTGTAATGGTTGTGCGCATTAAGCGCATGGAAGCTGTAGTCAACAGCCATCTTGTCGGGTCTTAGCCATTTTTTTTCATGAGCCCAGTGATCTTACCCCCTCCCTCCTTCTGCAATCTATGGAATCCGTAGCCTTAACTTTTACCACATTTCAAAAGAGCCTGTTATTTTAACTTAGGGACAGCAGACACCAGCACACAGATCTTGGCCAGAGCTGTAAACAGCTAATTGAGTACTGGCAGGATGACCTTTTCATTATTAAACCCTATTTTGAAAAGTGTTAAAACTGTCCCTAAGGCTTTTAATGGACATTAAAGAATCCCTGTCTCTTGAAGAGTGCTACTGTATGTGACAAATCTCTGAATATACCGCCTTCTCAGTCAAAAGTTGGTGGTGGTAGCTTAAAGAGTTCATTGCTTAATTAATTTGACCCATTGACAATCGCTCTCAGGCTGCTGGCACCTAGATTGTGGCCCCGTGAGCTGGAAAATCTTTGTGCCGGGTGCAGTTGAGAGCGGCATTGTTATGTAAGTGATAGCACAACGTGAGAGCAGCTGCTCCTTTGTCATGACTTGGTGAGGACAGGGGTCAGGCACTGAGTTCGTCACAACATGAATCTCAAAGATTCAAATGTGCTAAAAATTTGGTTACTGTCAGATTCACTACTTAATAAATATGAATGGTTGTTATCATGGACTGTTTATTCACTCTTTGTACCTTTCCCTTATCAGTTTATGTCTTTCCTGTGATGAGTCAGGTGCTTTTTATAGACCTAATAAATGAATGCTCAGGTGACAGTCCTAGTGGTTGTGGTTTGGATGTACAATGAAATGGAAAGTTTAGTGGTATAGCAGCAGGGACCAAAGCTGATGATATTTTGAAACAAATTATCTTTTTAAAAAATCTGGAGTCCATGAGTTGCCAGCTACGTCCCACCAATTTTTCACACAAAATCTCCCAACAATCCAGTTCAGAGACCAGGCCTCCCAGGTGTAGAAGTCAAACTATTTTAACACATTGCTACACGGAGTTGCCACCTCATCCCTTTAAAACTGAACACATCTTAATTACACAGAATCTGAGGATAATTTAGTGCACATATAGCGCTGAGTTTAATTTACACCTTCATCAGCCACAGTGAACCTGTGTAATTAAAGTGTTACTAAACCCAGGACCCTGCACTCACTATATCTGGTCTCCCACAGTACAAACTACATGGAAATGCAATTATTTTAGTACATATAAACTGCTAAATACCTTTTCTCATCAGCAGTCTTGAGACTTGTGTCCAGCAGAGCACAGGTAAAGTTTGTAGGAGTTTTCTTTCTGGTCTAGGAGGATGCAGAACCCCTGTCCTCTGTCTGGACAGTGCTGATCACATGCACTCTCCCATGAAAAAAAAAACCTCTCTGGCAATATACACCAAACTGAGCATGTGCAGAGTTATTCCACACGATATGTCTTATCAGGAGATAAGCGAGGGGCGCTGGAAGAAGGGGAGGATCATAGAAGTCAGGATCAAACAGCCTTTTTACAAAATGCATAAAATTAACCCCTTAGGTTTCACAGTGAGCATAACAAGCATGCTTTACTGCATATACAGACTGATTTTTACTGTTGTGGGTTTAGTAACACTTTAAATATGTGTTTGGTTTTAAAGTGATGAGGTGGCAACTGTACTACCACCACAAGGTGTCTTTACTTTCAGGTCCTCATGGGACAGTTCCCCCCTATGCCCTCTTCCTTTCCCGTCCTCCCTCCCGACCCAATCCATTGATACTAACATGTAGTAACCCTATCTCAAGTCTACCCATGCCCGTTATTAATACAATTACAGAAGCAAAAATGCTTACCCAATGTATGTGTTCTATTACACTTAAATTAGAAAATATTGAATGGTGGAACTCAACTTTTTTTTTATCACAAGCTGATAAAGGATGTACAAGGAAGTCAGGGAGATTAGAAACATTATTTGTGGAAAAAAAAATATGTATGTGTACTATTAGGATAGGTTCTACCAGATGGCAGTTTCTTCTACTACCCTTTGAAAAGGGATCTGCTGGTTGATCTAGGTGTTCAGAAGGTGATACCACCACCCCTTGAATGTTTTCTTCTTACCTAATGGGGAGTTGGAATATAGCCAACATGCCACAACCAAGAGCAAAGTGGTTGCATAGCATGACCCCCTCTGGCTGTTAGGCTTTACCCTAGGTTTACATCTGTGCGGGTGGTGCTGCTGCCGATTCACAAGAAAATCCGTGCAGCCGCACCACCCGCACAGAGAATTGCGGACCGGCGGGCGGGTGTCATTAGTTCTAATGGCATGCCGCCCACACCGGAAAACGCAACCGTACTGGGAACCGAGGTTCCCCTGCGGGCTGCGTTTTCCAAAGAAGTACAGGGACTTCTTCCCCTGCGTGTCACGGGCACGGGAGTCCATTCAAATGAATGGGCTCTCATGCATGTGCAAAACGCGGCCCTCACGGCCGCATAGATGTGAACTGGGGGTCAATGGGTGGTTGCAGAGGTAAAAAAAAAGGGCTGACCTGTCTACTTTTACCACCTGTGTGAACTTTATTTCCAGTGTTTTTTTTATTATTCAGCAAAGTATCATTCTGTTATGTTGTAAATCCAATAATATAATTGAATGAGAAAATGCCACTTTTGTATTTTATAAGAAGCCAGGGAGTTTAGAAACATTTTATGTGAAAAAAATGTATAAGTAAAAAGGTCATTTAGCTCTTGGAATCTGTTTCTATAAGGCCAAGAGCTGATGCATCCAAGATTTGCCACACATTTTTTGACAAATGATTTACCTAATTGTTTTGGCCGTCATTATTCACCACTTCAAAAGTCAATAGCCAGCATCTAGATTATTCCTGTTTTAGTGTTAATATATTTCTGTAGCCAAAATGTTTTTTTTGTGTCTGGATAGTGTAGGGAACTTATCAGCTTCCTATGGCTGTCTATGTTCCTGCTGGTACTCTTTTAGTTGTCCTGCTGACCATTGTCATTGAGACAGACAGTGATAGGAAATTCAACATTTTATGGTTATAACTAGATTAGAAATTGAGGGGAAATCTTCTAATGGGAACATCAGTTCTGGAAACAACTCAAGAATGGATTTCCCTAAAACTGGGGAGATTTCTTCTAAGATTCTGTTGTGTCTCAGGACCCTTTCACAGGCACCTTCTGTTCCGATCATCAGGAGATCTGTGGGATGATCCCCTGCTGATCAGAATAAATATGGCTGCCTCCGATCCAGTCCACCCAAACAAAAGAGGACATAGTCCTCTTTCATTTTTTAGCGGGCCTGATCGGAAACAGAGGTAAACAGAGACAAGTGCAATAGAATACATGGACCTTCTGATCATGTCTGCCTGAAAAACTGACAGGCAGACCTGATGAAAACGCCTGTGTGAAACGGCCTTCAGGGTTGGAATGTGAAGGTAAATATTCCTAGCCAGCCATAGTAAGAAAAAAAAAAACAAAGAGAATGTCACCCTTCCCTATTCTATGCAAAAAAAAAAACTTTTCTCTAGAAATATTTTTAAAATACTGGTTTCATTAACAGTTAATGAGCTTACAAAGTAGTATATCCTAAAGTCATTGACATGATTAGCTCAGCCACCATGGCTAGTGCTCTGGAATATTTCCCTTCTGTTTCATTGCTGGTAGATTTCTCTTTCTATGTTTTCTGGTTTATTCCCTTGGTCTTCCTGCTCTTTGTCTCCCTACTGGGTCCTCTGGAACTTCAGATTTCTCTTATTCCTCAAAGCATAAATCAGGAGTGTCCAACCTGCTGCCCAAGATGGCTATGAATGCAGCCGAGCACAAAATTGAAAACTTACTTAAAATTTTTAATTTTTGGGGGGATTTTTATGTAAAAATTGTGTTTACACTTAGTGAACATATGTGGGTGAAGAACATTTTGACAGTGTCTCTTTACTGGACTTTTATTAGTTTTATCTTCCCAAAGTAAACTATTCCACTCTTCACAATCCCGCCTTATTCATGTCAGTTTTTGGTATCGCCTATATTTATGAGCAACTATTTTCAAGGATTTAGCACACACGAAAAAATATCTCATGAGCACCTTGGGAATTCATTGAGAACTGCTACTACATCCGTCCAACCAGACATTGATGTGTTGGTTTATCAGAAACAAAGATTCAGTGTCAGATATTGCACTAGTTTTATGTTGCCCTCTTTTACTTTTATAATAATAATAATAATAATAATAAAAAAAAAAAAAAAAAATCACAAAAAAGTTTTTATAACTCAGATAGGTGCATTATCTATATCAGTGATCATTAACTTGTGATCTGCCTGATTTGTTTCTGCTCATCAGCTGTCCTTATTGTTAGTGTATTTTATGTGTGGCCCAAGACAATTCCTCTTCTTCCAATGTGGCCCAGGAAAGTCAAAAGTTTGGACACCCCACCATAAAACAACCGTTTCCTGTGTGTCCCAGGTTGTGTTGTCCACCAAAAACCCTGTGCAATCCATGTTCTTGCATTCCTGGGTTGTCCATCATTGAGTTTGTTAGCTCATTGGTGTGATGGGCAGTTTCTTTTGACTGTTGTTGGTGACCCTGAAGCGGTTCAACATGCCTGAACTCTGCTTTGCCAAGTTCTCTATCTGTTCTGTTTTTATTACTCTCAGTTCTGATTATTCCTGGTAAAGATGCTTGGCTATACTGCGCTCTTGTGTTATCCATTGGCAACAAGTCCAGCTGATTTTGGCTGGTAGGTTACCAACTATTCATTGACAACCCCCTGACTCTGTATCGCTGTTCTGACCATTTTATCCATCCAATAGCAATAGCCTTTACTGTGGGCCATGGCCATCTTGTCCAAGCCCTATAATCCACAAAATAAATTCCTAAGGGTCCCCTGAGTACTAGAACAGTCCTAGAAGAGTCCTCAGAAGGTGAAGAGTCAAAGAAAAGTAGTAATAGAGCCTGAGCTACTGATCCACATCTTATGCCTATGCTTATCACAGGCTTTGTTACATAGTTACATAGTTAGTCTGGCTGAAAAAAGACAAAAGTCCATCCAGTTCAACCATTAAAAAAAAAAAGTTATAATCCTTTACCCACAGTTGATCCAGAAAAAATTCCTTCCTGATCCCCCGAGAGGCAATCGGATATTCCCTGGATCAACTTTACCTATAAATGTTAGTATCCAGTTATATTCTGTGTATCTAAGAAATAATCCAGGGCTTTTTTAAAGCAATCCACTGAGCTGGTCAGAACCAACTGTTGAGGGAGTCTATTCCACATTTTCACAGTTCTCACTGTGAAGAAACCTTTCCATGTTTGGAGATTACATTTTTTTGTGACCACATTATTTTGCTTTTTTTTCCAGAACATAATATTCCTGACAATTCACAGTAATTTTGCCACTTGCTCAGGAGGCTTTACATACCTAATATGGAGACCATTGTGCTTTTTGGAGCAGTTGGCACACTTGGCTTTTAGGAAAGGAATCTCTGTTTTACCATCATAATACACAAAAATAGTGAGGCTCAGGGAGCTGGAGTGGGTAGGGCTATGCTTGAGCTTGCCATGAAAAGTTGAAATTTGTCTTTGGTTTCCCATACCTTTTGGATCTTCTAGATGTTTTGACATGCAATTCTCACTGAAAGCAACCATGGTTAATGCATATTTCATCATCTGCTCAGTTTGAATTGTCCACATTTGTGATAGTTGTTCTTTAATATCCTGAATATGGTTTTACTGGGGTGTCTGCTAAATATATATCTGCTGGATAACCTTTAATAAAAGAGGGTTACAAAAACAGCCTTCTTTATTTCCGAACTGTCTCCATCAGCTGTTTTCTAAATTATCAGCTCGCTTGAGGTCTGTTCTGCAAATTTTCAGACATTTATGTGAGATATCTTGTAGGTTTTCCCTGGCACACTGACCCCTTTTTCCTGCTAGTAATGAAACATATATAAAATACAGCTTGTGTCTGAAGAGAACCAGAGGAGAACATTTCACAGCACGACACAAAGCAATCATGGTAGAGTGTGAAATACGCTCAGCACACTCCAGAGATGTAGCACGTATTGAAGGCTGGGGTTTACTGTTAAAGCTGACCTTTCTAAAATATGGTAGATATGAAATGTAACTCTTTTTCTGCAACCTCAAACCTTTAGTTCATGCAGAAGTTCTGGATTGAAGGGGACCTGTCTCAAAGAAAAGAGTGCTTAGACTTGAAGGTGTTCAACCATTAGCTGAAGCATCAGGTACAGGTAGCAAATGGAGCGAAAATAGATTATTTGCATGGCTCCATCCATTATCCTGAAAAGAGTAATCCCCTTAGTTTTGGAATATGTGATGGAATGAAAACATGAATACCTTTTGCTTTAAGAAGACGCCACTATGTTACATAGAGGTTTAGTAGATGAATTGGTTCCTTTAGGCTATGTTCACACTAGCTTTGTCAGCAGGCGTCAGACAGGCATTTGGGAAGTGTTTTTAATGTTTCTCAAATGCCTATGAAAATTCTGCACATAGCAGCTGTTCACACTGAAGGGTTAGTGCCGCGTCGCGGCAAAACTGACGCCTCATGTCGAGTCAGGAGGAGTT